CTAGATTTTCTCTCAAGCAATTAAAAAGGTTAATATTTGATACGTTTTGAATAATGCTGGTTTAGGTTGCTGTATATTTGTCAAGATGTGGACTTCAACCTAATTCAGAAATGATTGCTAAGGGATATCCAGATTTAGGATGGGATCCTGTTGAAGGAGAAAGGTAATTTTAATGTCATAAACTGAATAATGGCAAGTTGATTTACTCTTTTCTTCTAGATACATTGACTTCCTTCGTTTCTGCGTTTGGATAAACGGCGAAAATGTGGAAGAAAACGCCAATCTGGTGATTCGACTTCTCATCAGACGTCCAGAATGCCTTGGTGTAGCTCTAAAAGGCGAAGGGCAAGGATTATTCGCTGCGTTTAAGGTAAGTTGCACAGTCCCGACATAACTTAACACTTTACTTTTCAATTGAACATCTATCTTTTCAGGAAGCTATCGCATTGTCTGAGGACATTCGCGTCTTGGAGGAAGAAGGCGAAAATGCGACCATGCTGAAAAGCGGTCTGCTTGGAGAGTCTCCGTAAGTCACTTTTATCCCTGCTATAATTGGTTCCCAACATTTTGAGAGGCGTTTTCTCTGGTATTGGCAGATTTTCCTACAAATTTTGCAAGTATTTTTTATTTCAAGATAAAACGTATTCCAGTTGAAAGCAGCTGTACCCTAGTTTTTTGACCCTTAAGACAAAAATATCGAATAGTCTATGAAAATCCGTTTTTAAATAAATATGGTGCTTTATGAGTTTAAGCTCATTCTTTCTAGCTCATATCCCTCTAAAGACGCTGAAGGTGAAGACTACCTGGATCTGGGAGCTGCAACGCTTGATTTCTATTCGTCACTTGTGGATCTATTAGCTAAATGCGCGCCTGATCCGATGGCTATTCAGGTATCTGACATTCTATCGAATAATTTCATAAGAAGATTTTTATGGGATTTTTTAAAATCCACTATTATGTGATATTCAGGCTGGCAAGGGTGACTCGCTAAGAGCTCGCGCTATTTTGAGATCCTTGATTTCTCTTGACGACCTGGGACAGATTCTCAGTCTTAGATTCACTATACCAAATTTAGCCTTGGCTGCTACAGATGGTTAGTTCTTTTCTTCACTTGTTACCCTACAAAAATCTAACTTACTAACATATTCTTTACTAACTCAATCGCAGTTCGCCGCCGCTCATTTGCTAACTCGCATCAGCACAATGTGAGTGTATCGCATTCGTTTGCTCATGTGGTTACGTCGCATCGCGATCGGCAGCAATCGCTACAAACATCGGCTACGAATTTCGATAGGCGATTAACGCAACTTCCTGAAGAGCATTCCGACAGTGAGTCAGACTATGGCTCGGTGAAGAGCTCTCTGGATGAATTGGAGTCGAAGAGTAGCGATCGAGCAACGATGCCGATTGGTGCATCAGTACAATTGGGTCGCACCGGCAGCAGAAGGAGCAGGTGCAGCGACATCGAGTGTGAGCTTTTACTAACAATGTTTGCTGTGCTTTTCTATCAACTAACTGTTATTTTTTAAAAGTAAGGTAGAAAAATCTTTGATTTGATTTACGACTTATACCATTTTTAGAATTTCTACGAAGTAGGTGATAAGTTGAAAATGACATTTATTATCTTCAGCAAAAATACTTATTTTTCAACATTCAGCTCAGAGATGCGGGTCTACGTCGCTATTTTACCTACATGCAAACATTTCAGATTAAATTTTATTATAACCACTTTAAAACTGCAGCCAGGTTGTCGTTAAGACTACGAAAGTGGGAAATATTGCGACTTCAATTACTCATTATATCTATCGACTTTCTTTTTTCAAAGTTCAGTCCATTTTGTGGCGCTTTATCATGATCCTAAAGCCGTGGCATCTAAAATTAGTGCAACCATTAGATCCGATATTTCCCTCTCAAATTTACATCGAAAGAGCCAAGTTATGGAAATGCTTCTTTCAGATTTTTTTGGTAATTTACGATCAAAAAAGGAGGTTCCTTACTTAGATTCCAACATTTCCAGTAATCAGCGAGATTTTCTATAACGATATATACTGACATAAACTATGTTTATCTTTGCAGACAATGGTCCATTACCTGGATTACTGCCCAATCACAAAGGGTCAGTTCTCTTGTTCTTGGATCGCGTGTACGGTATCGATTCACAAGATATGTTGTTCCATTTCTTGGAGCAAAGCTTTTTGCCTGATCTACGGGCAGCTACCATGATGGATTCGGTATGTCTGCTTTCCTAAAACTTGTATTTTTATCTTATATCATTTGAAGTTCAAAGAAAAAAACTAAATTCATGCAGGTCATATCGGAAAATTTGAATGTAAATTCAAATCCTGGCGAACTTGTTCACATTACAGAGTTTTGTTAAAGATGTTGGCATATAGGGAATCTGCAATAGATACCTTAAAACGTTGATTGAAGTTCATTATTTCAGCCTAGAGCGGTAGAATCCGACACTGCCCTAGCCCTGAATCGTTACCTCTGCAACGCTGTTCTCCCTCTGCTCACCAATCACTCCCACTTCTTCGCTGATGCCGAACATCATGCAGCTC